CTGGGGGGTTCATGGGCAGTGCCAGGTACACAAACCCCTGGAGAAGGGGGTGGCTCTGGGGGGTTTCTGGGCAGGAAAAGCGCCCGGGGTGGTTGTGGCGCTCCCGGAGCCGCTCCAGGCGCTGGGATGGGGAGTGGGGGGGGACGGCAAAGGGGCCGGGGGGGCTCCAAACCCGGCCCAGACCCCCCTGGGCAGCCTGGGGGGGGGTCCCACCAGTGCCCCCCATCCCAGTCCAGAGGGCCGGGAGTGTCCCCAGCACCGTCCTGCGTGGGGGGGGATCTCTGTGTTCTGTTCTCCCCCAGAACAGGAGGATATCGGGGTTATTCCCGAGGATTCCGGGATTGTGGCAGTGGAAGGCACCGGGGAGGGAAGGGGGGGGTTAAAAGCTCAGGGACAGTCACACCTCAGTTCATTCCCCTCCTGTTTTTTGGGACAAAAAGACCAAAAATACCTGGGGGGGGCACTTTGCCCCAAAAGGCCACAGTAAAATGAAATGCACAGGGTGGTCCTGGGTAAATTAAAGTTAGAATTAAATGCAGAGTGGTCCTGAGTAAGTTCAAACTAAAAGTGAAGGCATAGGATGGTCCTGAGTAAATTTAAATTTAAATGAAATGCAGAGGATGGTCCTGGGCAAATCTGAGTTAGAAGGAAAGGCACAACATGGTCCTGAGTAAATTTAAATTAAAATAAAGCGCAGAGGATGGTCCTGAGTTAAGTTTAAATTCAAATTAAATGCAGAGGATGGTCCTGAGTTAAGTTTAAATTCAAATTAAATGCAGAGGATGATCTTGAGCTAAGTTTAAATTCAAATTAAAGGCACAGGGTGGTCCTGAGTAAGTTTAAAGTTAATTTTAAAATTTAAATTCCATTTAAATGCAGAGGAGGGTCCCAGGCTCAGCATCAGGGACCCGTTTTCCCTGGGCTGGGCTGGGCTGGGGCTGGCACAGGGGGGTCCCCCATCCCTGGGAGGGGGTCCCAGCCCTGCCCCCCCCCCCCAGCGTGTCCCTCTGTGCCCCCCCAGCCCTGAACCTGCTGCTCAAGGACCCCGTTCCTGCCGTGAGAATCAAGGTGGCCGAGACCCTGGGCAGGCTGGTGAGGATCCTGTGAGCCCTGCAGAGCCCTTGGATCCTGGGACCTCCTGGATCCCATCCTGGGAGCCCTGCAGAGCCCCTGGATCTGATCTGTGACCCCTGGAGAGCCCCTGGATCGAATCCTGAGAGCCCTGGGTTGGATCCTGTGAGCTGTGGAGAACCCCAGGCCCTGGATCCTGAGAGACCCCCCTAGTTTGGATCCTGTGAACCCTGGAGACCCCCCGGGTCAGATCCTGGAGACCCCCAGCCCTGGAGACCCCCCATTTCCATCCACAGCAATACTGGGGGGGGTCCCACCCCACCCCAGGGACCCCCCGGGCCCTGCCACGTCTTCCTGCGCTTCCCTGCCCGGCTCCCTCGGCTCCCTCTGGGTGGGGGGCACGAGGGGCACAGCCCCTGTTTGGGGTCTCTGGGAGGGGGGAAGGGGCTGCACCTCGACCTGGAGCCCTGGGCTGGCCCCATCCTGGGATCCCCCGGAGCAGGATGGATCCTGAACCCCCCCCAGTGCTGAACTGGGGGTCCTGCCCCCCCCAGGGGTACAGGGGGGGCTCTGGGATGGATCCTGACCCCCCCTCCCCCTCCCTGCTGCTTCCAGCCCCCCCTGCTGCTCCCCAGTGCTGAATGGGGGGGTCCTGCCCCCCCCGGGACCCCCCTGGTGAATGTGACTGTGCCCCCCAACCCCCCCATACACACTGTACAGAAACTTATTTTTAAATAAAGCTCTTTGCTCCTCACACCTTCTGAGGGGGGACATCTCTTTGGCTGTGGGGGGGTCTGTGGGGACACTGTGACTGTGGGGACACACTGTGGCCGTGGGGGGGTCTGGGGACACACTGTGGCCGTGGGGGTTCCCTCTGGAGGGACATCCCGGGTTTTTCCACCCCCCCATCCCGAGGGGACGCCCATTGTTGTCCTGGCTCTGCTTGTGGGACCCCCCAAAGCTGGTCCTGCCCCCTCCTTGTCCCCCCTTTCTGTCCCTTCTTTGGTCACCTTCGGGTTGGGATCCCATTCCAGGTCCTGCTGGGATCCTTTTCCTGGGATATCCCCGGCCCAGGGGCTGGGCAGGTGCCCCCGTGGGGGCTTCCTGGGGGGTGGTTTTGGGGTGACAGTGACCCCATAGCAGGGCCTGGCACTGCCCCCCCTCCACTGCCCCTGCTTGGCACTTCCAGGGACCCAGCTGGGACGGGTCAGTCCTGTCCCCTGAGGGGACAAACCCGGGAATTGCTGCTGGGAAGAGGGAGCAGCCCCTGCCCCTGGGGGGGTCTGAGGGGGGGGACAGGTCCGTGGGGGGTACAGGGGGGTCCCCAGGGAATGCAGGACACAAGGGCCAGGCCTGTACCCAAAGCTGTTTAATGAGCCCCAAAATCCGAGTGCCCGAGCGGGAGCGGCGACCCCGGGGGGCTCCTGCTGGAACGGGGTGGTCCCAGCTCTGGGAGGGTCCCACCCTGGTGGTCCCAGCTCCGGGAGGGTCCCACCCTGGTGGTCCCAGCCCTGCCTGGCCCCAGGAGGTGCCGGAGCCGGAGCCGGAGCTGGAGCAGGGCCGGGACCCCTCGGGACGAGCTACGTGTAGAGCCGGACGGTGCCGTCGGCGCCCGAGGAGAACACCCAGGGCTGGGTGGGGTGGAAAAGCACGTCCAGGACCCCCAGGTCCAGGGTGAGGGCGTGGCCCTTGAGCACCTTGACGGGCACCAGCAGCGGGTTCTGCAGGAGGTCACTGTGGGGGGAGAGGACAGACAGACAGACAGACAGACGGGTCAGTGGGAGCTCCAACCCCCCCGGGGTCCCAAAAGCGCCCCAAAAGCGCCGTGTCCCACCCCGAGGAGCCCCCCCAGCCCCTGCAGGGCTCTGCCCAGCCCAGCCCCCCATACTTGTAGACCATGCCGTGGCAGACGATGACGGAGCCGTCGTCGGAGGCGGAGGCGAAGAGCGGGTAGTGCCGGTGGAAGGCCACGCCACGCAGGGCACGCCGGTGGTGCCTGCAGGGAGGGGGATGGAGGCATGGGGGGGCATGGGGGGCAGAACGGGGGGTCCTGACCCCCTCCCACGGGATCTGAGCTCCCACAGCTTTGGGGGACCCCCCCAGGTCTGTGAGAGGGGAACTGGGATAAACTGGGAGCTGCTGTGGGAGAGGAACTGGGATACACTGGGAGCTGCTGAGGGCACTGTGCCCAGGGAACTGGGATAAACTGGGAACTGCTGTGGGCACTGTGCCCAGGGAACTGGAACAAACTGGGAGCTGCTGTGGGAGAGGAACTGGGACAAACTGGGAACTGCTGTGGGCACTGTGCCCAGGGGAACTGGGATAAACTGGGAGCTGCTGTGGGCACTGTGCCCAGGGGAACTGGGATAAACTGGGAGCTGCTGAGGGCACTGTGCCCAGGGGAACTGGGATAAACTGGGAGCTGCTGTGGGCAGAGAGGCTGCTCCTGGCACAGCCCCACGGGCTCCACCCCCCCAGCAGGTGCCAGGGCAGGGACCAGCCCCGGGGAGGCTGGGGGGCTCTGGGGGTCCATGGGCAGGGAATGGGGGGTGGCAGGGGCTGCCCTGGGCTCACCTGAGCAGTTGGTAGGGTCTGGTGGACAGGTCCAGGTCAAACCAGGCCAGTTTGCTGTCGTAGCTGCCGCAGATCACGTTGTCACCTGCGCAGGGGGCGGGATTAGGGGGGTCACCACGGGCTCACCTGGAATGGTGGGGGCGGGATGGGAGAGGGATTCGGGCTCTGGAGTGTCCAGAGGGGAGGGGGAGCCACGGGGACACTCGGTGTGCTCAGCTGGAGACCCAGGCTCTTCAACCCCTTCAGGGGGGGCAGAGGAGGGGCAGGAGTGAGCTCTGCCCTGGGGGGAGCAGGGACAGCCCCCAGGGAATGGCTGGAGCTGTGCCAGGGCAGGGACAGTCCCCAGGGAATGGCTGGAGCTGTGTCAGGGCAGGGACAGACCCCAGGGAAGGGCTGGAGCTGTGCCAGGGCAGGGACAGACCCCAGGGAAGGGCTGGAGCTGTGCCAGGGCAGGGTCAGCACCCAGGGAATGGCTGGAGCTGTGTCAGGGCAGGGACAGCCCCCAGGGAATGGCTGGAGCTGTGCCAGGGCAGGGACAGACCCCAGGGAATGGCTGGAGCTGTGCCAGGGCAGGGACAGACCCCAGGGAATGGCTGGAGCTGTGCCAGGGCAGGGAGAGACCCCAGGGAATGGCTGGAGCTGTGTCAGGGCAGGCTCAGGGTGGAGCTCAGCCAAAGGTTCTTCCCCCAGAGGGTGGTTGGCACTGAACAGGCTCCCCAGGGCAGCCAGAGCTGCAGGAGGGTTTGGATGATCCTCTGGGGCACAGGGGGGGATTGTTGGGGTGTCTGTGCAGGACCAGGAGTTGAACTGGACGGGACAAGACCCCCCCCCACCCCCCTGGGGGACCCCTCACCCACCTCCGGGGTGGATGGCCATGCTGGACACCCACTTGCAGTTGCTCATGAGCTTCTTGGTGAGCTCCTGCTTGAGCAGGTTGTAGACCCTGACGCAGCGCTGGGTGGCCACGAAGAAGAAGGGCCGGGTGGGGTGGAAGCGCACGCACTGCACCATCCCCTTGGCCCTGCGGAACGGGGCCTGGCTCCAGCGCTTGCTGCTCTGGTGGATCAGCACCTGCCTGCTGCTCGTGTCGCTCACCACGCTGG